ATATATATATATATATTATTTCTAAGAGTGCCAAATTAAAATAAACGGATGATACTTTTTTAGATTTACGAAATAATTCAACATTTTAAATAAAACTATCTTTTCGTAGATAAAGAAAATAATTTACAAAAAATTATTGTACAATTTGTTGGGTAGATAGACAATAGATACCGTCTGTAACAAATATATATAGACTTGTGAGACGTCTAAAACCTTAGTCTGTCCCGTGACTATGATTGCTGTAATGCATCGCGAAACGTAGAGAACCAAAAATCTAAATAAATCCGCGAAATAATCCGAACAGATTCAAAGAAAGAATCCGACTAAAATTATATATGATTGCATTCTTTAATCTAATTATATCAAGAAACACCTCCAGGTAAATTTCTAAGAAATCTGTTGTTAGCTAACACGCCGGCGTGTCCGCGGTCGTGGAGGGACTAAAGTAAACGTGTAGGAATTACATTCAATAAAAAATCATTTATTATATAACCAAACTACATTTCAGTACACATAATATTATTAACAATCGGTATCTAACATCGCATCTATTTCATATTGTTCACGTTTTATTATAAACTTCATGTGTGTATAAATATGTTATAGCCAAGGTTACCCTCTCAACTCAAGAGTCAATAATCGACGTATCGTTGTATTAGTACAGTTGTTTGGTCTCATTTGAATGAACATTTACAAGCAATTCGAAATTATATATTTGTTACGTTTTTTAACGTTTAGTATAGATTTCTCAAAGATGAGAAATTTTCCCGCAGTAAAAAGTATCTTAAATGTTCATCCGGATATAATTCATACCAAATTTCATCAAAATCTGTCCAGTAGTTTTCTCGTGACGTCACAGACAGACAGAGAGACAAAAATTCTAAAACTATAGATTCGGCCTCTGTTGCGATAATAATGACTATTTCTATAAGATTTTCCAAAAAATATTTAATTTACAGTTTCGACGCAGTTAGAATTTTATTGCACTAAACAAATAATTTATTATATGTTTAGATTAAACTAAACAATCAGTCAGTCAGTTAGTCATTGCAGTCCCAATATTCTAGAAATATGAATAATCAAAGTTTTTAATGTTAGGCTCGTTAACATAATTTTTATATGCGAAACGTGACATTTACCATGTGTTTTGCGTTACTTTTAAAATATCGGAAGCTTAAAACTACATAAAACATATTAAAATAGCTGGCAAGAGACATTGCCGTTTTACTTAGAGGTACTCCTCTGTACAAACAAACACAAACTATGCAAACTTGAATTTATAATAGCAGTGGAATAAGAAGAAAAGGGTCTTATAGAAACTAAAATCAAAGTTAAATCACTATTTAGTTACTTATTAATGTTAAATGATAACACTGGAAAGGAATCCGAGCATCGTCATCTAGAACTATATTAGAACTTCCGGGTATTCGTCATATAAGCTGATGCAAATATACATATTTTCGATTTGGAATAAACCGATATGTATATGGTTAAAAATTTTAATTATCTATTCACCCATTATAAAAAAAAAATTAAACTTACGCCTTACCAAAAATAAACGTAAGTACTAAGTTTTTAGACTTTAAATTTAGCCAAAAAACTTTAAATTACACAAAAATACTTAATTATCTATTTTATGCATAGCTACATTATAAATAGCTTTCATAATCAAATTATGAATATAAAATTTAGTATAACGTTGAATATTAACAAAACCTTTCGAAATTGAGAGTTCTGTCATAACTGGGCATTAAAATAGAAATATGCTTAATTATTTCCTTGATAAGTGCTAACAAATTATATAAAGAAATATCGTTATTCATACCATATTAGTATTTTAAATAAAACTATGTTTTCGAATTTTTTCGCGGATTTATTTTGATTTTTGGGGTTCCCGACGTGTCGAATGCTTGTGGGTAGGCTGTCTGTAACAACTATAAAATAACTTTGAGACATCTTAAACCTTAGTATCTCCCATGATCATGATTGCTGTAAAGCATTTGAAAAGTCGAGAACCAAAAATCAATATAAATCCGCGAAAAATTCCGAAAAGATAGTTTTATTTAAAACTAGCAACTCATACCCGCTCCGATCGGGTTCGTTCCTAGTTACGTTTTAACGTTTTCCTGCCGTAAAAAGTATTCTATGTTGACCCGGATAACCAGCTACCATCATACCAAATTTCATTAAAATCCCTTCAGTGGTTTTTCCGTGATGCGGTAACAGACAGACAGACAGACAGGCAGACAAAAATTCTAAAAACTATAGATTCGGCCTCTTAATCGATAATAATGTTTATTTCAATAAGATTTCCCAAAAAATATTTAATGTACAGATTCGGCTTAGTTACAATTTTATTATATGTATAGATGTCAAATATTTGTGTAAATCTAAGAAAATACCTACCATATTAGCAGTTAATATTCTCAATGTACAGACACTGTTACAGTTTCATATTAATATATAGAAATAGGTCAGTTTTGAATTACGAATTACGTCACTATGCACGTCTCAAGTCTAGATGACCTCTGGATATAGCCGGTTAAATTGAAAATACCTTCGTTATATTGCATGATGCACGTCTGTCTGAATATTAGTCCATATATACAGCGAAAATATTTAAAACGGCAGCCATAAAAAGAAATTATTGCTATACAAGATTTTGTTGATTACGAGGTAAATGTCAATAATGGGTAGTAAATGCTGATGTGAAAATTTTTACAGTTACATATTCCAAGTTTTAATGTTATATATTGAATGTAAAATTTCTAATGAATCTTTACATGTCAAATTATAAAATGGCAGTTACATATTATCAGTATTTCCATCTCATTATCCCATAAATGATGTTTGTTACTAAATCACGCCAGAACGGCTAAACGAATCTGGATAAAACTTAGCACAGAGATAGATTATAGTCTGTAATAGTACATAGATTACTTTTCATCCCGAAAAAACGTACGGTTCCCGTGGGATAGTTTGTTTTTGTTTTCCATAATATGTGCCATATAAAAATTCACACAAGACTTTTATTTTTTACAATCTGCATGATAAACATATAAAGCCGAAATGCAAATATTGACATTAAGTATTTAAATACTTGAAAGAAACAAACCAATAGGTACACAGAATAAATATTAAACTAACAAAACAGGATAATAATACTAAAATTTACGATCTACCACCAAACAATAACAAATACTATATTTGGATATGAGCCAAATATGCAAGAAACTTTTTATAAGCCATGATTGCTCGTTGACACAATAATATGGGGCCATTAGGTGATTTCAGTATCTTTTATTTTTTATTTCTAATTGAATTTTGATACTACCGACAATGTATGTAAAACAATCTTGTTTTTTATCCATTATTTGTAGTTATCCTATATCTTTATTGAAATAATAATATATATTATTTTCTATCTGTATTATATTTTGTTATTAACAAAAATGCACTTATTAATTTTATATCAACACCTTATTAATGATCTACAAAGTTTTTTTTAGAACTATACTAATATTATAAAGATGCAGAGTTTGTTTGTTTGAACGCACCTAATCTCAGGAAGTACTAATCCGATTTGAAAAAATATTTTTGCATTGGATAGCCTGTTTATTGAAGAGGACTATAGGTTATATATCATATAATATTCACACTAACCATTAAAACATACCCAGGGACAAATCCAAGCAAAGAGAGCCGGAGTTGCTAGTGTATTAATGTAGCAAAAGTGCAATAAAATAGTTTTTATTAATAATAAAAATAAAAAAATAGCTTAAGTTAATTTAATGATACAGATAAAGTATAATAAATAATTTAGAAATTAACCTTAAATATTACTATGTACTTTTATTTTAAAATAAGCTATTTCCATATGACATGTGTAATGATTATTAATTCTAATTTGGGAATAGAATAATGTATAAAGTCAATCAATCAATAGCTGTGGGCTTCCTACCCACATAAGTCATAATGGCATAATGCTTCAAGTAGCATACAATACAAACAGACTATATAAAACTTCTGTGTGTAAATATGTGGGAATTTCAAATCTTTATATATATAATTCTTCTGTGAGTGTGTATGTCACTGAACTTCTCTCAAACGACTGGACCGATTTTGATGAAATTTTTTGTGTGTGTTCAAGGGGATCTTGGGAATGGTTTAGATTCACAATTTGAATAATAATTTTCATCAAAAAAATTATTAAAAAAAGTTTGAAATTTTCAAATTAAAGACGTGTAGACAGGACAACGTCTGTCGGGTCCACTAGTAAAGTATATTCTTCATAAGTGAATAACGTCTGACATACTATTTGCTTTTAGTCATGTTCTTTTGTATGTAATATGACAAAGAATTAGTCATAAAAAATAAAAGTTGAATCATTTATCAATCACTAAAAATACAGCTGCTTTGAAAAATAATCAACTATACTTACTACGAACTCAAAAAAATATATATATTGTATTTTTATAGATTTCTTTTACTGTGCATTACAATCTAAAAATATGTCATAACAATTAAATGTCAGTAATGCAAAAATATTTAATTTTATATTATTGTTTTAACAACAGAACTAGTTTAGATGAATGACTTCCCTGTAGGAACTGATTTACATAAAATAGTTAGTTACTTCAACAAAATTGGAGTTTGATAAGAGATTGTCAGATAAAATCAATCAGTCGATAGAATCCAATACTGCAAAAATGTTACTATTTAAATATAGTAAATTGAAAATGAACTACTACATTTAAGAATATATAAGTATTTTATGCACATTTATTTTTTTTAAATAATCAAGTAAAATAATTTATTTATACTAACATATACTTAATATATAATTTAAAAAAATGTGAGCCAAATTGTCTGAATTGTTGATGTGGGACTGTAAATTACTGTCTTGACTCACATAGCAAGATGAAACAAAAGAGTAAAAACATCGAATTCCTTTCTTGCCGTGATTCATTCATTAGCTTTAATAAGTAAAAACTGTTTACCTCTATACTTCTTGTTGCAAACTCAACCCCTATTGTAGATTTTGATTCTAAGTTGAATTCATTTCTAGTAAAACGTGAGAGAAGACTGCTTTTACCAACTCCCGAGTCTCCTATCAAAACCACTGTAACAAAAGAAGTGTCTTGTACATAATGACATGTTCAAAAACATAAACATTACAATGTTATTATATTACAACTATAGCAAGTCAGACTTTAGGCCTCTAAATTTAGCAAATAGAACACTATTCGATACAAAGATGACTCATCTGGAACAAAAAATTTATGAGAAATCGATTGTCACAGCCCCATCAGCTGATGTATAACAAAGCTAATCTCATAAAACATGAAGGGAAATTTCACATATTCTATGTAAAATTATAAATACCGTTATTTTATGGTGATTACTATTTACTATATGTTTAAAATTCGCTACACAGGTCAATATTCTACGTCATTCAAGATGTAACAATGGTTTATACGTAACATGAAAACTTCTGACGTTTTTCAATACAATAAGACATATATTGTTTGGAGTGCTTTATATAAATATTCATGGGGAATTTACCTTTGAACAAATAATCGTATTCGTCCTCTCTTGTACCCATTTTGATTATCTAGCGGTCCGTTCGACGTCAAAATCGGTCAACTAATAACGTCAAGATATGCGTAACGTAAACAAAATAGTTGTACACAAAAATATCACAGGCTTTTTAAACACTGCACAGCTCACAAAATATCACTTTCAATAGAGGATTAATTGAAAAAAGATGGGTTAAAAACTATATTAAATCCTAAATTGTCACTGGAACAAAATGGCGGATTGTTTTACGCCCCTATGTTGCGTTCGGAAACTTTTACGTTATCTTTGCTTCTATTTTTACACAGATGACGTTTCGAGTTTTGAGGGACATAGCGTTTCAACTTACGCAGTTAATATTGTACTGATTTTATCAGTTTAATATTACTTTAGTGGAACAAGTTTTACGTACTACTTTAAATACTAATAACATATATAAATATCTTAATATAAATAAAAGATCAAAATATAAATATCAATAATCTTCATTCTCATTCTATTAGTCATTATTTGATAAAATGTAATCTCAATCTAGCGTATAACGTAACGAATAAAACAAGTCATATTTGATTACGAAGTTGTAGATAGTAGTGTAGACACGCAATTCAAATTATTCGGATGCTAGCGACATCTGTTGCGTTTTGTAAATACCACAATAATATCAAAATCGGAAATAGGTAGATAGAATCAATATTCAATTTTATAAGGAGAAACCTCGTGTAAAGACTAAATAAAAGCATTTTGTAATTAACTATACAGATAAATAAAATTGAAGTGTCTGTTTGTACTCGTAATGTCAAAATAAAAGCTTTTTACTAAATGCATACGAAATTATAAACAGTGCTTCTAAGCAAAACACAGTTTTAATTCTTTTTGTTTTTCTGTTTGTTCCGGCTAATCTCCGAAACGGCTTGACAGATTTTGATGTGACTATAGCAGATATTATGAGAAGTAACTTAGGCTACTTTTATTTCAGAAAAAGAATTAGGGTTTCGCTCAAAAAAATTAAAACATACCCAGTAAGTCACTATCAGGTTTTATACAGAGAAACCCCGACAAATTTTTTTTTTAGAAAGCATTTTGTAATAAATATAAAATATACTTAATATGCATAGTTGGCATCATTACAGATTATCACCGTTGATACAAAACCAACTATGCAAAATGTTTTAAATTGTATCTAAGAATAGGGATGCTAATAAAAACAAATTAAATTGATTATTTTAATAACTGGCAACTATTCTAAATTTATACAACAAATAATCTAAGCTTTAGCGGCAATTTCTTCTTCATCATCGCTTTCTTCTTGCACTTCTTTGGACAGAGTGCGATCAACATGTACAAATGGATCGATTTTTAATTTCTCTGATGATGGCGGACTGACAATGAGGCATCTGTACAAAATAATAAATAAAAGTATTAGTAAATTAAGCCTAAATGAGACACACATTTATAGATAAAACATTCAATAAATATAATCAAATATAATATTAAATCCTTAAAAAGTTAAGTAAATACAGTAAAATATTTTTAGGTTTCAGTTTGAGAATGCAATTTCAATTACTAATTATTTTTTTTAAGTTTATCTATAAACTACTCTAGTTCGGATACAAATCTAGCACATTTTGTAGTGACAAAACATATCTATATATGCAAAGTGACTCTTATTTTCAATTCCATAACCAAAGCTAGTTACAACAGATATAGAATGATGATGCTATCTTACCTTGTAATGAAAAGTCCATCCCGTTTAGGACGCACAGCTTGTATATCTTTTAACAAGGTATCAATATTCTCTGCTACTTGTTTGGCATCCATATTTAACTACAAAATGAATTTAATTTAACGAAACTTATTAAAAATATTACATTATGAAAAGAAATAAACTTAACTGCTTAACAAGAAGTAAAAAGCTGAGATAAGGAAGATAACATAGAATATTATAGTATAGCATTATACTACAGTGGAAGACATAATGTATGTATAATTCTTATTTTTACATACACACTTTATTTTTGGACTACATTTTAGTTTTGCATTATATTATGTTTTATGTCATCTAATTTCAATGGTAATCTGCTTAAGAAACTGAGATACACATGTTCAATTCCCGGGTCTTGCACCTCTAATATTTATGTGTGATTGTCATTTTCAACATAATTATTACTTCTACTTGTCCCTTATAGTAAAGTAAAACACTGCTGCTGCATGTTTGAAAGAACCTAGCATGTTTTCGAAAGACATGTGAAATAGATCATCTCGCACTTGGGGGAATTTAAGGGAGGCCTGTGCCTTGCAGTGGGACATTCAAAAGGGCTTCTACATACATACATACATCTAATTGCATTGTTGTGCTCTAAACACTTGAGTAATCAAAAACTATTTCTTTGCCACAAACAATGTTTATAATTTGAAAACATACCCTTCCAACAGGCACTTCAACGAATCCATAATTTTGTTGATTTTCATCTTTTATAACCCTAAATTGTATGCCTGCTGCAAATTTCTTCACCAGTTCACAGATATTGGGGTCCAATGTACCAGCTTTTAAGTTTGGGAAGCGTCTCTTCATTAACCCTCTTATTGGGACTAAGTCGGTTAAGATATTTGGATGAGCTATTACATAGTCATAGTCACCAAGTTTAATTTCACCTTCCTGTAAAATAGATTTCAATAGTATTTATATCAATATGACTAATATTATAAATGTGAAAGTTTAGATGTTTGGATGTTTGATACTTCAATCACACCAGAATATTTATTTTTGGTTTTCTAGAGACGAACCCGAGCGAAGTGAGAGTGAACCGCTAGTATATTATATACCAAATACTGCTAGAGATAAGGTAGGTGTGACATCAGGACAGTTAGACTTATGTATAAAAGGAAATGATAAAAATAAGGGTATTACTATATATTCCTTATGGAGATTCTCTCACCTGAATCTTCTTGACTAGCTCAGTGCTACCAACAGTAGTGGCACCAGCTTCAGCAACCTGCTTTATTAGTTCTGGTCCCTTACAAAAGGCCAGGATTGTTCTTTCTTCTTCTCTTGGGAAGTAGTGGGGTAACAGGGTTAGACGTGTAAAGTTGTCTACATAACGATTCTGAAAAGAATTAAACTTTCATATTTAAAAAAATATATGTAATCTATACATACAATTAATTAAAAAATCAATATTCTCTAATTTATATATATTATATTACATAAAGTCACAACTACCTTACCTTTTTAATACCCTCCATATTTAATTCAATTTGTGCAAAAACATATGAATCCAGAGCATTATACATAGTTGGATGATGAGTTTCCTGATGAGCCTTAACTGCATCCTCTGCAGTGTACACTACCCAACGGTAATAACGCATTGGGTAAACATCATCTTTTGATTCATTTTTGAATGAATCATCTAAATGCTTATTTATTTGAACTTTTACAGCTCTAAAAATTAAAATGATGATATTATACTTAATACTAGACTTTATAAAGTATCGAGTAATAAACTATTTAACTTTCTTGATAATTATGATGTTATACTATATTCTTAAAAAAATGTATAAAGAACTATCTTACTTTCTTCCTCTTTGATTATGAGGAATGAAGCCCACTTTAGTGATCTCAACTTTTACTTTCTTTGCTCGGGCCTTTGCTCTAGTTCCTTTACGAGCGGCATAATATACTGGCCCACTATGAAAGGATTTCTAAAATGATTGCATTTCCATTAATAACCAACTTTCGCTGACATAAGCTATACTTGAAAATAATTTTTCTACTTACAATTGTAGCAATATTAGGTTTTGGCAGAGTCAGAGCCGTATTAAATAAGGAACCTGAAAAAATATTTTAAGATATTTTTATTGTTTGTTTTGAAAGTGTCTTCTAAAAATTTAGAATTTGTTATATAATCGCAATTAAAACTCACGAAATAATGTTCCAGCCATCTTAAGAAATATAGTGGTATATTTAATTCAACTAATAATATTTATTATTCTTTATTCTTATTTGGATTTTGGAAGTTAGGTTAACAATAGACAATTTTTATTTTTTATTTTTATCATTATTGTCATGTTGCCAATGTCAATGTTCAAAAATTTCCAAATCTAAGGGTATTTGTGCACGAGGACTTTGGATCACGACGGCGGCGATGAGTGTCAACGTGAAATGTGGCACTGAAAGATCGGAAAAAGAATGGCACAAAATTTATTTAACAACTCAACTATAATATGATATCCATGAAGAGCAAAATCGTTTTACTTCTTGGTAGTAATATAGAGGGTTTTCCAATTACAGTACTAAAGCACATTATGCGACATAATGCTAATCTTCGTATTTTAGCAATGCTTCGCATAAATACAATCGAGCACTTTGAAAAGTACTGCTTTGGCGTGATATGAAAAATCAGTAGCAGAAATTAGAAAATATAAGTAAGGTTTTTTCGCCTTATTGGTATTTGTGTGCCAAAGTGCGGCATCATGTTCTGTAATTGCCAATTGAAAAACAATATTTATATTTACAATTATAAAAAATATATACCTTAGAAAAATAAAGACCATAAGGATCTCTACCTATACATATTACATAAACGGTATACAGGAATACATACAGGAAGTCAGATGTTATTATGTAGTTTTATAATCTGCAGTGCGTCCAATAACCAATCCTGTTGTGTTTAAGTTTGAACTGTGAACAACAAATTAGTTGTAAAACATCCGATCCAACCTGATAACGATTTATTATAATTACTTTTATTACTTTTACAAGCATGTCGAAATAAAAAAAATATAAAAAAATGTCTATGTTATATATACAATACTTTAGAAAAGTCCACAGATTATTTATTAATATATATGGAAAAATGTAAGCATTGGCAACGGACAAAGTCAAACTAAACGTCAAGTCAAAACAATCGGTTACAATGCGAGGTTCGGGTGTATTTTGGAAATAAAACATAAATAAACTATTTATTAGTGAATAGTTTATTAAATTATAATAAGTGATTTTAATAGTGACTATTAAACATGGAAAAACTTAATTGGACGTTACTACTTGTGTCTTTGTGTGTATTACTTTGGGGTGTGGCCGGTCAATATGAATGGCAAATTCGTGATGCTTTTGACGAAATTCGAGGAAAGATTGATAAAGTCAATGCCGAAAATTGTTACATTGCTCACCTCGACGATCTTTCTCTACCCAAAGATTCGGTGTCTCACTATCCAGATGTGAAAGAAATAAACGTAAATCCAGTATTTCCAAATCGCACAGCGATGTTACATTTACATAACATGGCTATGAATAGAGCTTTTTTCTGGAGTTACATTCTACAATCGAGATTTATAAGACCTGCAATAAATGACACTTATGATCCTGGCATGATGTATTATTTCCTATCATCTGTAGCCGACGTAGCAGCTAATCCTTATATAAATGCTAGTGCTATATATTTCTCGCCAAACATGTCATATACTTCGTCTTATCGAGGGTTCTTTAATAAGACTTTGCCGAGGTTTGCACCGAGAGCATTAAGAGCAGATGATTTCAATGACCCTGTTCATTTACAAAAGATATCAACTTTAAACACATTTTATGCCGAAGATCTAGGTGCATTTGATCCTGACAGTCTTTCAAAAGATTATACATCAGATTTCTATCGGACAAATGAGTGGTACAGACTATTATTACCTGACAAAGTTGAAAAGAGACATGACACTAAAACAACATATGATGTTGAAATAAGATATGCAAACAATACTAATGAGACATTCACATTCCATGGACCGCCTGGTAATGATGAGGTATGTGTATATGTCCATTCATTTGTAAATAAACAGAAGTGTAATATTTTATTCTCTATTTTTCTTTATAGGATTTGTACTCGCTTTTAGTATAGTAAAAAACTGAATTATTTTCTTTTTCCATACCAGATACCAGGTCCAGTAAACTGGACGAGGCCATATTTTGATTGCGGAAGACTTAACAAGTGGTTAGTAGGTGCAGTGTCACCAGTTGCTGACATATATCCCCGTCATACACAATTCAGGCATATAGAATATCCAACGTAAGTAAATCTTTAATATATGTAGTTATAAAAACTTATACTTTCCTTGAAACTAAATAAAATGGCACCAAATAAGGCTAATCTTCAGGCAGTGGCACTTATAACATCCCGTCGTTTTCGTGTCGGGGGTTAAAAAAAGCTTTCATCTTTTCAGAACAACATGTTTGGCTGTGATTGTAGTGACCCTACTTGCTGTGTCAGTGGTCACGGGTTCGAGTCCCGTGGGGGGCATTTATTTGTGTGATGAGCATGAATGTTTGTAGTCCAGTCATGGGTGTTTATATTTATAATATGTGTGTTTAAAGTAATATATTGTGTAGTGTATCAACTATCCGGTATCCATAAAACAAGCCTAGTAGCATACCATAATGCTGTGTGTTAATGTCCCAATATCTACAAGATGCCATAGGCAGAGATCATTAAAATGTTTTTATTTATTATATTAATTAAGTGATTATTATCATTTTCATTGCTCATAAGAATTATAATCAATAATATATTCCAGGTACACAGCAGTTGTAGTAATGGAAATGGACTATGAGAGGATAGACATAAATCAATGTCCGACGAGTCCTGGGAATGATAAACCTAATCGATTTGCAGGTACTACCAGGTGTAAAAATGAAACTACAGAGGTGAGTTACATCTAATATATTTAAACAAGCAATTCTTGTTTATTTATTTATTTATACCAGAGATATCGGAAACAGCTCTAACGATTTTACTGAAATTTGGTATGTAGGGGTTTACGGTTTCATGAAATATATCTTTTTACATTTGTTTATTTTTTGGTTTTTATTCAAGTTTAGGTGTTTTTTTTATTTTAAGCCAAATTAAAAAAAAAATTGTACTTTTGGCCAAAAACTAGATTATCATCTAAAAAATATGATATAGTCAAAAAGAACTCTGAGCGAAGCCCGGTCGCCCATACTTTTAATATGATTTCAATATAAAATTACTTTTATACAGTGTGTTAAAAAAACCCTGTCCGATCGGAAACCAGTGTATAGGTATCCCAATCACATGACCAAATAAAATAAGAAATATAAAATATTCATGATAGTAAACATATTAATGAAATTTAAAAAGTTCATTTATTTTGCTAATTTCCCCACAATTCTAGGAAATTTTATAAATGTACAACACTAATTTCGGCGGTATTATAATCATGTGGCGGCGGCATCTTTGATGTGTGCCGACAGACGATGCGCCGCCCGTTGTCAAAGGTACCGCTCGGCACGTGTAGAGGCTATCCCGACCTTGAATTACATACTTACGATCACTATTTGTTTGCTTTATTATTTATTTCACTTAAAATTATGTCAGTTTCGCGAAACATTGCATCCGAGTGCACGTGTTGGAGAAATTGAGTTTTAACTATGTCGTATACGAATGAAGAGTACTGTAATATGATAATGTGTTTGGGGAGGAGTGACTGCAATTATGCAGAGGCTCATAGAGACTATGAAGTGCGTTTCGCAGTTCCGCGGGGTACCATGGTGCCGTCAGAGCGTGCGGTTCAACGTCTTCACAATCGTATGTACACCACGAGCAGTGTTCACGGCTACGAAACGCATCATGCTGATACAAGGACACCGCGTATCGACATGGATATTGAAGAGCAAGTGCTTGTGTTATTCAATGATGACCCCACCCGAAATACTCGTTCTGTGGCACGACAACTGGGCGCTTACCACGTTCAGGTGTGGGAAGTGTTAAAAGAAGATGGCCAGCATCCTTTCCACTACCGTCCTGTCCAAGCTTTACTACCCAGTGATTATGAACCCAGAGTGGAATATTGTGCATGGATTTTAAGGAAAATTGAAGAGGACGCTGAATTTTTAAAAAGGGTTATTTTCACCAATGAATGTTCTTTTCATAGAACAGGCGTCTTTAACAGCCGGAATGAATATGTGTGGTCGACGCTAAATCCTTACGCCCATAATCCGTGATAACCTTTTGCGACGCTGTCAAGCCTGTATCACTAGTAGAGGCCGTCACATGGAACAACATCTCCATCACAGCCATCGCATTGGCGTCCTCATCGAATAACATACTACCTACTTACAAAATACAAATTGATAAGCGTAGTTTGAACTTTGAGGTCAACTGCGTTCATGACCTTATGACGTCACCAGTATTGCTATGTAAGTTTCACAATGTATGAAATATTTTAAATTTTTAAGCGGGGTAATTTTTTTTTACTTGGAATCTGTTTTTTTTTACATAAATAGAATCGAATCGCGATACCTAATAATACCTTCACGGATCGGACAGGGTTTTTTTAACACACTGTATAATAGTGCATTCTAACTGATTAACTGTAAGTTATTGTTATTTCTAAAGAATTTAGTGTTTTAGCTGTTTAAAAAAAGTACTGAATATTAATTAGTAACCTTATTTAATGTTGCTATTATCTGTTACTTCTTTGAATTTATTAAATTTAAAAGAATCTTAATTTTAATTTTTTAAATTACATATAGAACAATAATATTGCTTAAGTAATTAATATTATTAATTTTGTATGATCTTTCAATAGCTCAATAATAATTTTTAGTAAATATAATAAGAGCAATACTAAATAAGATTTAAATATATATATATTTCATAATAGTACTAAATATGTCACAAGATAGTAACAGAAAAATTATAACAAAATGCATTTTTTTACATAGCATTTTTTATTAATTTGTAACTTTAATAATTTTTAGTGTGAACCACTACATGGTTGGGGTTTCCGACGAGGCAGTTATCAATGTAGATGTAGACCAGGATATAGGTTACCAAGTCTCGCAAGGAGACCTTATCTTGGTGAGATCATTGAGAGAGCAACGTCTGATGAGTATTACAATAACTATGATTGCCTCCCGATTGGATGTAAGAAAACTTTTACTAAATAATATTTTATACTTTTTAGAATTTTTAAGAATATACCTTCTTTAATTTGCAATATGCTATACATTGTAAGGAAAACAACACAAATTTGTTATAATAAAAACAACAGTATAATAAAATGAACCAAAAATATAATGAACCTTTTCTAAATAAAGCTAATAATAAGTTAAAAATATATTGTATATCTCATCAAAAGCAATTTGTACCAGACAGCCTTTGGTAAGAAAATTGAACAATAGAATGGGAATCTCACTATCTAATATATAAATATCTTGTGTCACGGTGTTTGTGATCGCATTCCTCCGAAACGACTCGACATGAATTTTTTTTCGTATATTTGGTAGGTATGAGAATTTGTCGTAAAGTATTTTTCACCCTCCTACCCCCACCCTCCATTTTTTAATTTCTATTTTAGTATAAACAATATTATATAAATACCGGGGTTCAAATCCCGGGTCTCGCACCTGTGATATTTTCATGTACGAATCATTTCTAACATGATTACCACTTGCCTTACCCTGGTGAAGGAAAACATCGTGAGAAAACCTAGCAAGTTTTCGAGAGACAATTGCAGTCCGCCAACCCGCACTTGGCCAGCGTGGTGGTCTATATGGTGGTGTATAGTGGGACGTTAAAAAAAAGGCCTGAATACAAAATAAATTGTTTTAATCTAAACATTATTTCAGGGATACAAAAGCTACCTGTGCGATGGGATAAGGCTCATCCGTTCATAAGAGCAATATACGCGGACAGATACTATGAATATGTCAATGCTACGAGTGGTCCGAGTTCTTTACACCAAGAAAGAGTTAATATTTATGAAGTATTGAATTTCATAAGAAGTGTTAGACCCGAAAATTGTACTGAGTGAGTGATTATTGCAATATTTTTTACACTAAGACCATAAAGCTTCGTCGATATCGTCGCTTTCGTCGCTTCAGTGCTTATTCATTTAAACTACCAAAACTTATTGTAGTTTATAATAGAGATTTTTTCCTTTTTTTTTTTTAAACTTCATTTTTAAGATTTTTTTATTTATATACATGAAATATATCTTTTTGGCTTTTTTTGAAGTAAAATGTTTATTTTACCAATAGAATAGATAATTATAAGTTAATAATTCTTTTAGTAAATTGGTCATTAGGACAAATAAGTCATACGATAAGATATTAAGCTTTAGTATGACCCAATTTTAATTAACAAAATAATAATTTTAATCGATGATTTTTCCAGTAGCCACACTAACGCGTTTTATTTATCATGCATCGAGAGTGCGAGAAGATTTGTAATGTACAACCAATCTGTTATTGATTCTTCTGATTTAAAGCAATATCGATTTACGGGAATTAATGACTATCTTACCAGTTTTTTGTTTTTTTTTGGTCTATTATTAGACTCATTTTGATAATGCTTTATAAATGTAAATACTTTAAACTTTAATATAAAGCTTTTTTTTTCAGATATAATCCATCAGATTTGGAATTGAATGGAGATATTGCTTATGGCGCTGAAGAGCAATTTGAAAATCAAGCAAAAATGGCTGTGCGATTGGCGAATTTCATCAGTGCATTTTTACAGGTACATATTATTATTTATTAGGTATTTTAAAACTTAAAACTTGCCATATATTTGTATATTATTAGAAGTGAATTCTGAGTGTTATATTCTAAGTATTGTACAGATAAACGAATTTTAAACTAACTGACACTACTCGTGTACCATTTATTACACGTTATAAATACAATATTACAAATTTCACACATAAAATAACTGAAGTTTTATTATTATTAAAAATAAATAATATAGATTAAATATTATTTGTAATAATAAAATCATTAACTTGTAAAGTCCTACTACTGGGCAGTACATTTGATGCGAGGGTGAGTATGTTATACTTAAATGAGTTAGATTCTCTAGACGTTAGTGTTTTTTCATGATATTTTTTGTTTACGTTCACTGCATTAGAAAAGATAATTCACCCTGGTTCCAAAGTGAGAGTGTTCACAATGGAATGCCCTGCGCAGAATCAACAAAACAAACAAAACTAAATAATGGTCTCTTTTCCTAAGATATCCATCCTCGATATCTCCATTTACAATTTCACTCAAGGTGTTAAGTCTTTGTCTATATTATCATTATACCATAAAAAACACACACACACACAACAATCTTTCATAATTTATATATAATTCTAAATTATAATATTAATGGGATAACGTAGCTTACTGTTTATTATTAGGTATCGGATCCAAAAGAAGTATTTAGTGGCACAAGAGTAGCAGATAAGCCGCTCACTGAGGACCAGATGTTGGGGGAAACACTCTCCATTGTGCTCGGTGACTCCAAAGTGTGGTCAGCAGGTTAGTATATAATACACTAGCGACTCACCCTGGTTTTACTCGTGTTTGTCTCTAAGTTGATTCCCCATACAAACTTTCATCCCCATTTTCACCCCCTTCAGGGATGATTTCCGGGATAAAAAATATCCTTACCAGTGTCTCAAACTATCTTCTTACCAAATTTCATCTAAATCGGTGCAGTACTTTCAGAACTTATTCAGTACAAACAAACAGACAAATCTTTCCTCTTTACAATATTAGTATAGATTGATATTCAAAATTCAAGATATGCAATTAGCGTCTCAAAAGTGTCCTCAAAAATGGTGCTTTTCTTTAATTCTCTTTTGTTCATTGCGAATTTGTGTTTAGAAAATTAGAAATTTCAATTTTTGGATTTTATTCTTTGGTTTGATTTAATGTCACACCACTTTTTGTAGAGATATTTGTCAGGAAATATGATAGAAGTTAAAACCTGAAAGTGTACTTCAGAAAATCATGATAGTGAAAAATCATATCAAAATTTGTTTCATCATTTATAAAAACTAAGCAGCAATCAATCAAGTAATTAAGCTATTGATTTCCTTGCGGTTTGCACAAAAATATTTAAAAATTAATTGCATTAGAAAATTTTAACTAAATTAATTATTTGTTTTTTAAACTACAGTAATATTACAAAGAAGTTTGTAAGTTTGTTTGTAGGAAGTGATCTCTGGAACTACTGAAGTTTAGTATGAACATAGTTTAAGACTCTAGGAAGGACATAGGATAGTTTTTATCTAGGAAATCATCCCTTAAAGGAGTGAAAAATGGGATGAAATTTGTATAGGGAATCAATCTTTTATCAAGTAAGGAATATAAAACCGATCATACCTATGTATATAATATAGTCTATCTATTCCATATTACAGTTCAAATTAACTGCCTCGGTGGTGTAGTGGCTAGCATGTACAGCTGCACACCCGGAGGTCCTGGGTTCGAGTCCCGGGTCGGGCCAAGTTTAGTTATTGAGTCTTTCGGTATTTACTATACCGAGATCTCAGTAACAGCCCGGAGTTGGGAAGTTGGCGGTGTGTCACCCCCGTTCCTCGGAGAGCACGTAAAGCCTGCGCCTTAACTCTCACCGGTCGTGTCTCGTGTCGTCCCACCGGAGTATGAGAGTGACAGGAATAGAGAGTGCACTTGTGTCTGCGCGTACACTTGTGCACTATAATATCTCCTGCGCAGTTGGCTAGTCTCAATGAGATTGGCCGCCGTGGCCGGAATCGGCTAGGAGAACATCATCACAGTTCAAATGTACCTAGAGTACCTACTAGTATTGTTTATAAAAACAATTTATGCAATATTATTTTAATTTAATTCATCATAACTTTTATTATCCGTGTACAACAAAATGCATTATATTTTTTGTTACAGGTACATATTGGGATAGAAATAAATTTACAAACAGAACATTCTTCGCACCTTTCGCTTATAAGACTGTGTTGAACACACGGAAGTACAATCTGGAGGACTTGGCGAGAATTAATAGCACTGGTAAATGTCACATATAAAAGAAACTATTTTAAAATGATTTTCTAAAAATACTTTTATTTTAATAAATCTTTCGATTGACGACAATCTGTGTTAGCCTTCCATAATGAGTTAACTAGGACATACATGTGTGTATCTCTGTTTTTATCTCTCAATGATCTTTACGGATTTTTATTTTTGGTTTCCAATGTTTCGAATGCTTTACAGCAATTATGGTTACGGGAAAGACTTTTCCCTATAGGCTATAGTTAAAATTTTCATCATCCATTTAAACAATTAATATGTATATTTATTTGTCATTTACAGAGGAAGTATACACCAACCAACCCTGGTTCCAGTTCCTCAAACAACGCTGGTCGACCAATCAAGACAATCTTGAGAAATTCTTTCTCAAAATGAAGATTCGGGACGCCGAAATGGGGAAATATTTGAAGCAATATGAAAGATATCCCACATTCTACAGAGCGGCCAATATTAAACATGGACATTGGACTCGGCCATACTTTGATTGCGAGGGGAAATTAAAACAGTGGGTCATTACATACGCAGCACCTTTCTTTGGATGGGATAATGTTAAAGTTAAATTGGAGTTCAAGTAAGTTTAATTTTTTTGTAGGGTTTTGTACCTCAAAAAAAAAAGGAACCCTTATAGGATAATTTAATTGTCTATCTATCTGTCTGTCTGTCTGTCAAGACCCTTGTTCTGTGGATCTTTTTGTGATGTAACTGCAAATTTATAATTTTCGGATTTGAGTCGTAGGTCAATCGGAAGTACCCTATAGGTTTTGATTCCCTTGAGTGTCAAAACATGCGACATAAACGGCCGTGTCTTTTGATTGCGTTGACTTAGAAGTTTGATTTTTTCATCGCTCCAAGGGATTGCAGACCTGAGTACATATTTGATATTAACTTTAACTTGAAACCCCCCCCCCCCCCCCCCCTCTATGAGGCAGTGGTAGCCCAGTGGTAACGCGCTCGCTTGGGAAACCGAATGAAGTGAGTTCAAATCGGTCTCGCACCTGTGATATTTTCATGTGCGAATCACATAACATACATAACCCCTCTATGCATTTCTGAGAGAAAAGGGCTAGACGGACAGACAGACAGACAAACTGACCAGCAAAGAAGTCCCTTAATCCTTATGAGGTATGGAACCCTAAAAACTAATGATTATTACCAAAATGTCTCATATGAAAATTATTTTATATATTTTCAGGGGTGCAGTAGCAGTAACCATGCCACTGATGTCTCTGGACATCAATCAGTGTCCCGACAACATCTATGTGCCTAATGCCTTTAAGGGCACAGACAAGTGTGACCGGAGTACATCTTATGTAAGTGTTTAAAGTTGAATTTACAAACAAAATATTTGAGGACATTAGTGTGAATGTGACCTAATCCTATGTTAGTGGATTTAATAGGGAATTTGTGTTTTAAAATTGGGCCTAGCATAAAAAAAGATATATTTTTTTTTATTTATTTATGTACCAGAAAAAAAAACATATGAGTTAAAACAGATACCATGTGTACAAAGGATGACTTATCTCTTTAAGAGATCTCTACCAGAAACCCTCAAGCGTGAGAAAATATAAAAATTATAATATGGTGCGGTGTACAAACTACAAACATCGTCATCGTCATCACATTTCTGTTATTTTATAAAAAGATTGTCTTATCATTTAGTGCCTGATTTTTATTTGGATAATTATTTTTTAACATAAAGGGCATGCAAAGTCAATATAATTTTAAAAAGTAACATTTCCACCTATAGCCATATATATATACATACATATATAAAAAATATTTATTATGATTGTACTTTAGGTGGTTGGTTGTCCATACAAGCATTGACCCCCTATTTCGCCCACTTCGAGTTTTATTTTCGCGACAAAATATCTCGTCTGAATTAAATACCTAAATTCATCGAATTCGATCAGTGGTATAGGTATGAAAACGTAACAGATAGAAACTGACACCGTTATTTTAGTATTTATAATATTCATTACCTTTAGGGTGGGCCTTTTTCGTTTTTTAAAGAAAAAATATATGAAAATCTTCATATCTAGCGAATAAACAGAAAAAGAAATTGACTAAGAAACCACTGAAATAAAATTATTTTTGCAGTGTGTACCAATACAAGGTCGTGGGTTCGATTCCGGCGGCTACAAGTGCGAGTGTCTCCAAGGCTACGAGTATCCCTTCGAGGATCTAACCACCTACTACGACGGACAGATCGTTGAAGCAGAGTTCCAAAATATTATTCAAGATAAGCAGACAAGGATTGATATGTTCAAATGCAGATTGGCCGGTGCGAGTAATGTGCATGTTAGTTTTGCCACTTTGTTCTCTTTACTTATGTGTTTGTGGAAGTTTAGGTAAGATCTGACATGTTTCTTCAACCGTGAAAGAAAAAGAGTGTTTTTTTAGTATGTGTATGTATATATTTTGAAATTACTCTGTACTGTATACAATAGATATAGCCATTTTGGGATATATGACAAGGTATATAATATTTATATATTAAGTCTGCATTCGGGTGGAAGATTAAGAAATATTTTGATACTTATAATTTTTTAATATTAGTACCTGGCTAACCGGTTTTCTTCCGGCGTTTTTCAGAAAAGATATAAAAATTGTGTTTTTTTTAGAATAGACACCTATATATAGATAAACTTAAAAAGCAAAATCTTACCTAAAAACATAATTTCATAGCCATTCCCGAGATACACGAAATTAATTTATAAGTATACAAGAATTGCCCATTGAATGTTATAAGATATTATTCTAATATATCATTATGGGTATCAAATAAAATCTAATAAACATACAAATCTAAAAGAAATATCTCAGTAATTATCCTTCCATTTTAAGTAAACTTAAAAAAAAACTTTTGACATTTTTATACAGTTATTATGTTATGTTTTTTTTTTATTCTTTTGGCTTGTTTATTACAAGTGAAATAGTAAGTTTATATATAAAAATATCAACTTTTATTTTGTGAGTGTCACCAAAATCGATTCAGTGTATATTTTATAAATGAAAAAATATGTGAAAATTAAGCAATATTTAGTTAAAGCGATATGTTAAGTTAAGTTAATTTTTATATAATTTACATACATTTTGATGTAATTTTCTTTTTAGGTATTATTTCATGGCACTTTTATACAAATTAGGCTAAGACGTTTTTACATTTTATTCACATTTATTGAATATTATTTACATTTAATTTGAGAACCGTCCAATTGAAACTCAAGGCAACTTTTATGTGTTCAATGTTTATAAATATATTTTAATAATTTTGCCAACTTAATGGAATAAACTTACATATTTTAGATGGAAATAAAGTAATGAAAACCTCATTACTCTCACATAATTTTTATGAAATCAAAACAAAAACTTAGTTTTAAATGTGGCTTGTGTGTATTCAGCCCCTTTTTTTAATGTCCCATTGCTGGGGGTGGGCATCCCATCAATACCAGCGTAATCAGGTCATAGTCCACCACGCTGGCCAAGTGCGGGCGGACTGCGCATGTCTGTCGAAATGAGAATTGTGTTACTTTTATATTACCTCTACAGCTGATGATATTACGTATTATATAAATATAGAATAATAGTAATTTTTTTAACTTCTTTTTATGTATGCTATATACTGTCTTAAATTTCATGTTATTTTTATACTAAAGATATCAAATATAATAGGGTAATCCAAAATGTTTGTACGCAGAACTTGGTACAAAACTATTTACAGTTACACCATGCCGTTTTGTGAAATTTAATACCTTTAAATAACATTAACATATATATATATATATATACATATATATATATATATATATACAGATCATTTACACTTGCAAAAACAACAAGTTTCAAAAAAGTAATTAGTGCTCAAATATAATACTTGATAGAAGCTATTTTCTACTTGGAACTTTCTTTTTAGAAGGGAATCATATTTTGAGTTTCATTTTTATATAGATATATTTTTTATCTGTTTTATACATATGTTTGCCTGATATTTTTCTCCTGTATAATATAATTATAAAAAAAATATATCCAAAAATATATATAATAAACTAATATCCACAATGTTTAGGAATATTTTTTATTGTATCTAAAACTATTTTTTCTAATTGCACATTATTTATAAGTTTATAATCAAATACTGTTATGTTTATCGATATTATTAATTGCATTGCATTTACAAAAATAGATTTTTAAAAGTTATACACACATTAATTTGTGTAAGTTATGAACAGCCATTTTGTTTTAATGATCTCTCGAATAACAATCTCATTCATATTTTTTAAACTATGTATATTTTTTCTATTCTTTAAGACTGTTTATAGGCGATATGACTTAAATGTAACATTCCAAAGCTGCTGAAAATAAATACGAAGCCGTCCATTTCCTGTGCCTTTTTACAGTGTTTTTTAAATAAATTACACATGAATTTACATGTTGTTTTATTTATCCGTTTTGTATGTACATGTCTTCTGGGACACTGAAAAGTTTAATCAGAATTTATCCATACTTTATTGTTATAAATGTTAAAGTAACTCTATCTGTCTGTTACGTTGTCACACCTAAACCGCTGAACCAATTTTGATGAATTTTGGTATAGAGATAGATAAGACCTTGAAGGACATAGGCTACTTTATGTTACGAAAATGAAGGATGTGAAATGAAAGTATGAAAGTTCTATATTTTGCTGCTAGAGATATAGATATGAGTTCTATATTCTGGTAAATTTATAAAAATTAAGTGATATTTTATAGTGAAGATTAAGGTAAGCGAGTAGTATTATCTATACATATAATAAAATTGTAACTAAGCCAAACCTTTACATTAAAATTTTTTTTGGAAAATCTTATTGAAATAGAAACTATCGATACAGAGGCCGTATACCTATGCTATAGTTTTTAGAATTTTTGTCTGTGTCTGTGACCGCATCACGAGAAAACCACTGGACAGATTTTGGTATGATCAACATAAAGGATACTTTTTATTGTGGGAAAATATCTCATCTCTGAGAAATATATAAATATACTAAAGGTTACAACATAACCGGGGACGAACTCGAGCGGAGAGAGGGTGAGTCGCTAGTTATCTATAAAAATTATCCTATATATTCTCTTAAAAAAAATAATATCTAAAATATAACTTGCAAATAGAAATAAGGGTCAATAAATTAAAAATTATTAAATTCATTGCTCACTTGTGTTCTGCTATAATAACACTGCGGACGTAAACTAAACCCCCAACTAAAGCGAGATATATGGTAATATAAATTGTTATATATATCACAATTACTGTACGAATTATATTCATAATTTATTTATAAATTTGATATTTATGATTACATTTTTAAGTTATTTTATAATAAACATTTTTGTTGATGAAAATCAACGGTGACCAGTGACGAGTGACGACTTACATATTGTCATAATTTTACATTAAGATAAAATACTAAATAGTGATTAAATACTCTTTGTTATTGTTACTTTATTGTGTCGTTTTTTAAATATTGTTATTAAATAGTGAGTACTGCATTAATAAAATTAGTTAATAAAAAATATTTAGTTCAAATACCTAGTTTGTTCAAGATAAAATATTTGTAAATTTAAAATTACCGCGTAAATTTAAAAAACGTTTAAAAATATATTTCGTTTTGTATTTTTGTATTATTCATACATAAAAATGATTGAGAACTTGATAATGAGGCAAATATAATAATAAATTGTTGATTTAGAACCTTTTAGTACATTTACAAAACCTAACCGATACAAAATATGTTATTGAAATGAAATGTTTTTAAATAATAATTTCAGAACGAAGTATTTGAAGTTCTTATCAATTATTATCAGTGACTTTGAGTGACAGTGACATAGCATTAGTGCTTTTAATTTGGAGTAGGAAGTAGAGTTAATTTAATTTAAAATATTATAATAACACCATTTTCAATACTTACCAAGGAATAAAATATTTGAGAGGTAAAAATTAAACATTTTAATGATAACTTTTCATTCATATTTTGTCGATAGAGCCACAATGAAGGCCTCAACCTTGACATCCATTAAAAATGTGAACACGTAATTATATGCGGAAAAATTAGAATGTATTCGTTTTAAACGGTAAATTAACGTACAATATGGTTTACAATCTAGTCGGGTGTATTTATTATATAACCTCAACAAGTGTTTATATCTATTAACTAACCTTATACCCTGGATTCGTCTGTCTAAAAAGGAAAATAATTGTCTTATTCTTTTTGAATAAAACAATCATAATTTATCAATTATTTTTGACAAACTTTTGCATAATTTTTCGAAATTTAATATTGTTTTAGTATCACTAGTATTCTAAATTAACCTTCAAATTTTATATTAATTATGTTTCAGAAAAATGAGTGGAATGGCAAGAAAATTATTTAATCAGCTGAAGAGCAAAGAATTTAGGGAATATTTAATGAGGTAAGAAGTGTAAAGGGTTCTTAGTTTTAACAACTTAATTCAATTTAGAATAATAATTTATATATCTTTACAATTGGGATATATATGAAAATAAATTATATAAATGGATAATCAGATACTTTTGTATTTAGAATAACTTTTCTTTTTTTATTTTTACAATTAAAAACATAACATTTGTTAAAGTATTTTTTATTTTGTTTTATATTTCAGCACTCATTTCTGGGGTCCAATTGCAAATTGGGGTATACCATTAGCCGCAATCGCGGATACCAGGAAGGATCCTAGCTTTATTAGTGGCAAAATGACTTTTGGTAAGAATTTTTTACTATACACTACAATGCTTAATAAAAGTATTACATATTTCATTCATTAAACTTGAGAACTGTATCTTTTTCTTCTAATCTAAAAGAGAAAATCTTTATGCAAAAAAATGATTAATTTGCTAATCCTTTGCTATGTCAAATAATGTGTGTTTTTTTCATATTTATAGTAATAGGAAATAAAATATTTTTTCTTGCAAACGAAAGCCAATTTAAAAGATTTTATTTAACAAATGACCTATAACATTATTAGAATCATTTAATAAGTTACATAGTTTGAGGTCACCTTATACATATATTATGAATATTATGTAATGATCAGATAGTTAACATGTTTTGTAGTGTATAAAATACACATTGTTAATGAGATGTTAGATGAATGTTTTTAGAAATAATGTATACTAATATTATAAAGAGGCAGAGTTTATTTATTTGACATGCTAATCTCAGGAACTACTTATCTAATTTGAAAAATTCTTTTTGCAGTGGAGCAGTAATCATAAATGTCAATCATTACTGCTCCACTTGGGTAGTAGCATAATGATAATATATAGCCTATAGCCTTCTTTAATAAACGGGCTGTATAATGCAAAAAGAATTTTTCAAATTGGATTAGTAGTTAATGAGATTAAAACGTTCAAACAAACAAACAAACTGTGTCTCTTTATAATATTGGTATAGATAAACACATATTATATGTATAACATAAAGCCAAAAAGTTTTGTTTGTAGATTGAATGTGGGTGAAGTTGTGGGTCTGCTAGTTGTTATATAAAATAGCGTAGCATATATTATAATATAGATAAATAATTTGTTTGGAAAATAGAATTATACTAATATTATGACTTCAAAAATATTTTTAAGTAAGTGTGTTTGATCTCGATACGGTCATGGCTCGAGAGCTTGCAGTGTTTGGAATAAAGATAGTTTATATCTTGAGTTAACATACATATATGTATATTCTTTTTATCAATAAACCTGTGAACACATTGATAAAAAAGTACTAGATATACAATCAGTGACAAAAAATGTCCCACCGAATGAGCGCTCATTTGTACATGTAAGTGTGTTTTTTTTGTGAATACAACATTTAAGGTTAATTACCTAAATACAATTAGTGACAGTTTTAAGAGAACTTTTGCATGGAATTGTGTATCTAGTACTTTTTCGATCGATCGAACAGAAGGGATGTTGAAAGAAACTTGGCAGTACTAAATATTTTCCAAACTATATATTTTTTTATCTATTTTAATTTATGCAATAATTGGCAGACTGATTTTGGAACAGCTATAAGTTCAATTATTGGATTTAATTCATATTGGAATATTTTAAAATTAAAATTATATTATTATCCCTTCGCTTTACACTGTGTCTTATAAAGCAGGCTCATATTATTCATTGTGGAGTTTATCGCAAGTTATAACTTTTTATATAAAATTAAAAGACGTAGAATGTGTATGGCCCATACAAGTATATAGATTAACCCATGAAAATCGAACTTGTGACGTTTAGTAGAAGTATTAGTAGTGAAACTCCACTAAAAAAATTTGATTTAATGTATAAGACGTGTAGTCGTAATATATATTTTGTGGTAGCGTAACGAGTTATCTCAAGGTAAAGCAGCATTTGCATTAAATAAAGTAATTTGGAAGTATTACGTTTATAACTTTAGTACTTTATTGTCTTTATTTGGGAATTAATTTACCAAAGATAACATTTTTCTTGGGAAATTATCTGTATTTTATGTTAGTGTAGATGTAAATATATTTTCACGATGAAATTAATTTGAAAGATAGCCTATTTAGTGGTGTAACATGAAAAAAAACAACTTTGTTTTTTTATTTCACTATTGAAACAAAAAAAATTGTGCCATTGTTTTTTTGTAACTTTGGTTTTTTTCAGAAAAAAAATTCTATAGGAAATTAAACGTTTTATTGAGGTATGTTTTTTAATTTCTAACGTTTCAATTTAAATAAAAGTTTATTCTTCCTCTGTGTCAATGTCAGTACCACTTTCAGTATCAGTTCAATGCCACCTACTCTAGTGTTGTACTTTTCAGTGTCGGAATTTTCACATGTAAACTTGGCACTATTCAACCAAAAAAGTATGGTAGGTTTTAAAATAAACACCAAACTCTAGTATGAATTCTTAAGTATTAATCTTTTAGGGAATACCTTAATAATTTTAAATTCTGTACTCTTGAAAAAACAATCTTTTAGGTTTTTTTTCACGATAAAAAAAAAACAGATGGATTGCGGAATCAACTGTTTAACAAAACCGCTAGTCGTTTTACACAACTGCTCCTTTATGTAAAGCAACTAAAGGACTTTTAGCGCTTTTTTATAATCACTAAACTTTAATACGCAGTATGGTGCGAAGATTTTGTATTTATAATAATATCTTTATTCTAAAATATTCCTTGTAATATTTTTTTTGTTTTTTAGTTTTGTTAATCACATTATGTATCTGTTTGCTACAAAAAAAAAACAACCATATATAGCACAAAAGTGCTGGAAAAATCTTAAATATTTTATTAAGTATATCATGAATTTGCAAACAAAGATTTGCATAATCAAGAATCGTATGGTATTACAGTACAGCTTCTCCATTGATAAGAACTGGTAAGAACAAGACGTGTTAACAGATAAAATTACAATTCATTTTCATCTACGACTGAATAAGATAACAGCTAACAATCTTGATAGCTATTTCAATGGGTTTTTATACGTTTTATATCAAGTTATTTTTGCGGTTTACCTATTAGATATGTATTTGGTTTAATTTGCTTAGATGTTATTTAATTATGAAAATTAAATTAATTCATGTCATTATCTCTTTCCCACAAGTGTTTAAGTTGACTACTTAAATAACCAATGGTAAACGGTAGTATTAAATAAAGTATTATATTGTATTTTAACGGTTATAATTTTGTTTCAGCTCTATCAGTATATTCGCTAATGTTTATGAGATTTGCCTGGAAAGTACAGCCAAGAAATCTCCTGCTATTTGCCTGTCATTTTACAAATGAATGTGCACAACTCACACAGGGTGCTAGATTCATTAACTATTATTACATAGAAGGCGCCGAAAAGAAAGAAGAAAAGTCTTAGGGAAAAGGGTTACTAGATACAGTAGAAAATTATATAGGTTCATCAGTCAAAATGGCCACAACGCTTACAAATCGTCGACTTAGTGCTTATTTGTTCAAACCACCATTACTTCTAATTTACACTAGAGAGGAAAAAACCTCCATTTTAAAAACAGATATATATATATCTATATTCTATATATACATAAAAATAAAATACATATTTTGACTATTTTAAAGTGAAATTTGTATTTTATTACAATAGAATTGAAATTTTGAAGTCAATAATTCTGTATTAAAAATTCTGTAAATTGGTCGTTTGGACAAATAAGCACTGAGAAGACGAAATGTGATGTAAAATATATGAATGTATGTTTAATTACACTTTTAAGTAGTTTATACAGTGTAGTGTGATATTTTGAATCTGTGCAATACTGGTTTTCAGTTTAAACAATGTTGTTTCTTATTAAGGAGGTTAGAGATAAGGAGAACCATCTCTGTGTATAACAAAGTGTCTGTGCGTTTTAAATAAATTTAGCGCTATAGTAGCAACAGTGTAAATTTTGAAGAAAGCGCCACATGTGTTATTAAAAGTTCACAAAAAATAGATCACTCTGTACGTTATACATCATCATAGTTTTTTAGGTTATATTTACTAAGTTATTTTGGATTACGTAAACAGGTTTCAATAACTACTTAAGTCACCCAAAATATTAAATTTTTCAACTCACACTCTTCCTACGCTAGCGCCATTCTGGTCGGTTGTTGAACTATTATTAAATAATATAAATAATTTATTATTATATATTTTATAGTTTTCAGGTGGATACTTTTTCTACTTATCACATATACGAGACGGTTCTCCTCACCCCTACCCTCCAAGCCCTAAATTGTTATAAAAAATAATTTTATATATTAATATAGATTAAATATAGTGATATAGATTATACATAAAAAAGCTTGCCAAATAGAAGAATAGAGCAATTAACTCGCCAAATGTTTACAAATAGGTAGATAAATAAAGTTTTTAATCAAAGTTTGTCCATAAGTAGTTGACATGCACTTAATCTTGTTACATTTTTAGCACAAAAAATCTAAATTTTTTATTATCTGTATTTTAAATAACTTAGTAAATTTTATTCGTACAAAGGAATGTAAGGGTAATAAATTAAAGAACATGCGTTTAGTTTATTACTAATACGCTGTATAATGTATATAAAGCTGTAAAAAATTAGTAGTACATATGGAATAATGTATTGATCTTTATTGTAATATGCATATGGTTGAAGTTTGTGTAATAAATAACTACATATTAAAATTTATAAAATAAATTTTATTACAAACTAGCGGCTCACCCTCGCTTCGCTCGGGTTCGTCGCTAGGTACGTTTTAAATAGATATAAAAAGAAAAAATCTTTCTTTCTCACATTTTAATTATATGTTTTAATACTTACCTATTCCGGACTAAGAGAAATCCAAAAATTAAAATATCATAAAAATTGGAACGCGGTCGAACGGGATAAAAAGTATCCTATGTCCTTCTCCTGGCTCTAAACTACCTCCCTGCCAATTTTCAGCTAAATCGGTTCAGCCGTTCTTGAGTTATAAGCGAAGTAACTAACACGACTTTCTTTTATATATATAGATCTGTAAGAGTATATGAAAATTTAATTATTACTGTTTGTTTTGTTTTTGAATTGTTGTTTTAAATATTTTTTTATTAAAAGTGGCTGAAAGTGCAAAAGTGGCCTAACTTCATCACAATTTTAATTATTACTTATGTATCTACATAAGAGTTAAGATGTAAATATTACATTTTCCAAGTAGCTCTATGTATTATTATGTATTTAAGTAATGTTTTAAACAAAAATTATACCATTTTTGAAACAATTTGTTTAAAATTTATTTAATTTTTAAAAATGAACCGATGTTCTAAAATAATTTTAATGATGAGTGATAATTGTGAAAACTTAAGAACTAAGTGGTACATTTCAAACGTATGTATTAAAAATTGTTTCATCGAATACAGATTTTATAATTGACGACAACTTTCCCACTTGTGGGATAAGTTTATGGGTTTTAAGCAAGAAGCGTTGTGGTCATCGTATAAGACGCTGTTGTGTACAAAAGTATATTTTTTGAATATTTATTGTGATCAAATCGAATTATACTCTATTGTTGATCTGTTTTTTGTGGTTTTATTTAAAACCTGAAGTCATATAGACCATGGGGTCTTATCACGAACATAGAAAAAATAGTTCTAATAAATGTCTATAGATGACGTTACATATATCGCTTTGTTATTAAAAGTTGTGTTAAATTAACAAAAGGTAAGAAAATAGATACCAAAAAGGTGAATGATTATTTTAGAAAATATTCTAAGTGAAGAGAAACAAAATAATGTGCTCGTAAATTAAATTTATATAATTTTATTGATTATGGAAATAAGTAAGAGTATATGAAAATAATCAGCAATATTGCTCATATCAGAATATATGAAAATAATCAGTAATATCAGCAATCTGATGGGTTTGTAGTCTATAATCACAGATGGCGCTTGTACTTTTTATGAATTATAGGTCAACACAATTTTTGTTTCCTTAATATTTTTTACTGTTATTGGGTATTTCTATGGCCTAGAGTACAATAAAAATACTGGGGGATTGCTAACAGCTTTACTTTTTGAAATATAGACTTTTACTATTTTCACTAAAAAATACAAGAAAATTAATACATATGTTAACAAAATTTCTATTTAACACAATCAAATGATCTTTTATAAGATTTCCTTGAATGAACGACTTTAGGTAGATCTCGTTGCAAACTCCAGCAGTAGTCTGCCATCATATGTGAGTCCCACCTTCCCTAACGCTCTTCCATTGTCCGAATATCCTGATGAAATCTTTCTCCTTGCTCCTCACTATAATCGCCCAGATTTTCTGGAAATCGGTCTAAATGCGAGTGGAGAAAGTGGATTTTTATGCTCATGTTGCATCCTAGCTCTTGCAAGTTCGATAGCATGCACTCAACAAGCTCGACATAGTTGTCAGATTTCTTGTTACCAAGGAAATTACTCATGACCAAAACAAATGAGTTCCAAGCTTTGGATTCGACTTCAGTCATTGATTTAACAAAATTAGGATCTTTCACGAGTTGCCTAATCTGTGGCCCATCAAAAATACCAGCTTTCAATTTTTCTGTACTTAATCCTGGAAACTTGTGTGAAATAAAATTGAAACATTCGCCACTTTTGTCAAGCGCCTTCACAAACTGTTTCATTATGCCGAGTTTGATATGAAGTGGCGGAAGTATGATGCGGTCTCGGCTAACTAAAGGCACGTTTATAACATTTTTTGTACCAACTTTCAGCTCTTCCCGCACTGGCCAAACTTTTTGTGACCAATGGTGTTGCTTGTCACGACTGTCCCAGAGACAAATAAAACAAGGGAACTTTGTGTACCCCCCTTGTTGACCTAGAAGAAAGTTAACCATTTTCAAATCAACACAAATGACCCAATTGTGGTCTTGATACTTAATTTTTTCCATAACCTTAGAAACATTTATGTATTCTTCTTTCAAAGTCGTCGAATGTGCAATAGGTATGGATCCGTATTGGTTACCGTTATGAAGCAAAACACACTTTAAACTTCTTTTGCTGCTGTCAATAAAAAGACGCCAATCACGAGGTTGATAGTTGTATAAACCCATCTGTTGCAAAATTCCACCAATATCGTTACAAAAGACTAAATCCTTCTCTTGAGAAAAATACTGTAACAGATTCTTTTCTCGGGTACGATAAAAAGTGATTTTTTCTCTTTTAAACGAGATGCTAAAATTTCAGAAGCTTCTTTTGGTAAGTTCAGATCTCTTACTAAGTCATTTAGTTCTTTTTGATTAAATAGTTCAGGTTCTGCAAGGCTAAATTTGTAGTCTGGATCAGAGTCATCACTTGATATATTTTGTTCAGGTTTACAGAGATTTAGATCATCAGAGGATTTAGATGTACTGGGTTGTACCTCTCGTAATTTTAATTGAGGTCTTTGAGCAGAAGATAAGTTAGGATATGACCACTTACTTCGATTTCCAGGGTTAATTCCGTTTATTTTCACAACGCAGAAGTAGCAGTCGTCATGGTGGTTCCGAGGTTCTCGCCAAATCATAGGTGCTACGAACTTTATTGCATCCCTTTTTCCACTGGACCATAACCGTAGACACACAATACATTTCTGGCATACAATATGAGGAACCCATGGCTTGTCTTGATTACATAATTTTATTTTAAAGTATTGATGATACGCAGTTTTTACAAAGTCCGATATAGGTTTTCGATATTTTTTAAATATATATTCGCCACAAATATAGCAAAAACAATCTGGATTAAGTACACAACATCTTCTTGACGAAGCCATATCGAAAACAACAACAAAATATATTTTAGTGTCGAACAAAAAACGAAAATGTAAGTAAAAATAGTAATTGAGGGTAGTTAGCTATAACTCAAAAACAAAAGCTGTTAGAGAAATATTGTTGCCATATTTAAAAAATACTTGTCACATTGAGATAAAATCAAAAATAAAATCACAGGAAACAAACATTTTTTTTTCTTTTGTTGAAATTTTACAATATTTACCACACGCTAGCATAATTAGTGATAAAATAAAACAGTTAAAACAATCGACGACATCTATTATCTATTTAAGCAAATGAAAATAGCCCGAATTAGCGTCCAATTTCATTGTATGGGATGAGGCGTCTGTACTATGATATGTGTATAGAGCAAGTGTTGCAATTATCAAATTCACTTACATTATTTATCTACTGGTTGTGTTCTAGATAGGTACTTAGGTAAGTACATATCCGGAGATCCTGGTTTCGATATCCAGGTTATTATATTGTACATGTGGCAAGACACGCAGTAAATATAAAAAAAAAACATGTAGGTTAATATGTGTCTGCATAATATTTTTTTGCTTTTTTTTGTCTTGACGAAATCCTTATATGGTTTAATAAAAAATAATA